CGATTTTTTAACTGTGTCACGTGATATCGTGAAATCGATCAAAGTATTACCAAGTCTTAGTTTGCTTTTTTAACGTTTTGATCGAATTTTGATGGCGTTATACAGATTCCAATTTCTACCTGCTCCCAAAATACAGTATTCCGTATTCATGTTGGTTAAGAAATTTCACCAATACCTGTGGGGAAGAACGTTCGATATTTCTACACACCTCACATCCTTAGTGACAATGATCAGGGAGAAAAGCAGCATCGACCAGATGACGTCCCTTCGTATGCAGCATTGTGCCTTATTGCTTTCGGCTTATAACTACAAAATCTCATATGTTCTTGGGAAAGCGCGTAAAATCGCCGACGCTCTGAGCCGCATACCGTTGATTCAGCTACCTGCTTGCGTACTGCAACTCGCTGAACTGGTTCATTTGCTTCAACATTTAGACTGAAATCAGGTGCTAGGGGCAGATATGCGTCAATAAACCGAACGGGGCACGCTGCTTACCTAGGTCAAGTATCTAGTATCCCAGGTATGGTATAGTAAATATGATCCGCAGATGATACCACAGTTCATTGGACGCTCCGAACTAGGCCCGTGCATCTTCCATGCCTTCTTTTGGTATCCACCCCGGTTGCGGCCAGACGTCCTACAAGTTACACAAAACTCACTTGGGAATCACGAGGATGAAGGGACTTGCGTGATCCTATGTTTGGTGGCCCAATATTGACAAAGTCAGTCCGACACTGCGACGTCTGTCAAAGCACACAAACTATTACCCGTCCGGTGCCACTCAACCCATGGGAATGGTCCAGTAAACCATGAGAGCGTATACACGTTCACTTCTTTGGCCCGCTCGAGGGAAACATGTTCGTTCTCTTGATCCACGCCTCTTGGAAACGGACCGAAGTTTTTCCTTAACGCGAGTCACTTTAGAGATTTCAGTTTCCTGCACGCGAACGCGCTTTATAACGTTCGGTATACCACACACGCTGGTGACAGACAATGCCTCCGTGTTTACTAGTCAAGAATTTCAGAAGTTTCTGAAAAACGACAGCATACATCATGTGAAGTCAGCCCTTTACCACCCACCATTTAAGGGATTAGCTGAGCGATCCAAGCGGTCAAGAACGAGTTGCGAAAATCACCATCAGGTCGACTGTGAACAGAGTTAGACAAACGTCTTTTTAGTTCTCGCTCCACATCGAACGAAACGACGAGTACGCGACCCGGCGATCTAATGTTTGGTCGGAGATTAAGGACACGGCTAGACTTGCTATTTCCCGATCAGAGGCTACATGTCGAAGCCAAACAAGATAACTCTAAGGCCGAGTATGTCTCGACGGCTTTTAAGCGGGGACTCAGAACCTAACGGTCGGATACCGCGTCTAGCGATCCAGCTCGAGGATAGTTGGCTTGTCTCCTGGGCTTGACCTTGGTTCATCCAGTGGAATTTCGACACATTTGCGGTTTCAAGGTCGATTGGCAGGACTTCATAAGCCAATCAAATCGTATCCTATTTACTTCATTTGTCTTCCCGGAAGTGAGTATTCCTTTCAGACGTCTTTCGACTTCTTTTTTAGTCGAGCGTTTGTGTTTTGTGATCGACGCGTTCGCGATTCATAGTGGATCACAACAGATTTCTCTGGCGACGGAAAACAGTTGTGAATAACTCCCATTTATGCCACTTTCGATGGAAGAACTTATCTTGATCCTGCAGCACCAACAGAAGTTATTCGAGTAATCGCAGGCGCGACTTATTGAATTGAATTCCAGCCTTTTTAACTGACAAAAAGTGGTCATCCGTTGATGCCATTTCAGGAGGCATTACAGAATTCGGCTATGATATAGACGCCAGATGCACCTTCGAATCTTCGTTCAGGAGATATGTAGATACATTCCGGACTGATCTGGCTGAGACGGATGATGACTGGAAATCATGGTTACTTTTGCGAAGGCTTGGGACCAAGGCGCACAAAGGTTTGTGAATTGGATCGCAAAACTCAAGCTTTTAGACGTCCCACTTAACTCTGTGTGTAATCAGTTGTGTGTTCACTCTGTGGTCGATCCACCTGGGAATGGGCTCTCAAAGCGTTTGCGCCATAAATTTGCTCAGGTATTCCGCGACAAGCTTGGTTGCTTCACGAAAACCATGGCAGTATTGTCCCTCTGCCCTGACGCAAAGCCTGTCTTCCGACCCAAACGTCCAACACTGTACGCGGTGTTATCAAGCGTCAACCAGGAATTGGGGAGACTAACAGGTTAGCATCCTTCGCCTTCGTAGGCAGCTCCAATTGGGGTGGTCAAGAAAGCAAATGGACAAATCCTAATTTATGTAGACTTCTCTACTGCTCCAAATACTGTGCTTTAAAATCACCAATATCCGTTGCCTCTGCCGGATGATTTGTTCACAATACTTACTGGTGGCAAATGTTTCGTGAAACTGCACTTGTCGGACACATGCTTTCAAGTGGAAATTTCTAGGGAATCTCAAGAGCTCCTGACCATCAATACTTATCACCGTTTGTTTCAGCATACTCGCCTACCATTTGGGGTAAAATCGCACCTGGCATTTGACAACAGATCATCGATTCCATGCTACAGGACGTTCCATCCGTTGCAGCATATCTTGATGATATCATTATCATGGACACTGATCCGGTGGATCTGGAAAACCGGATTGAAAGCGCTTGATCGAATCCATGATTATGGCTGTAGTCCGAAGGAAGACAAGTGTGTTTTCTACATCGATTCGGTAAAATACTTGGGATTCATAATTTATTAATACGGTCGAAGACCAGACCCGGGTAATATTGAGGCCATCCAGAAGATGTCTCCACCACGTGATGTGACGACGCTACGATCCTTTATGGGATTGGTAAGTCACTACAGTGCATTTTTGCCAGCAATACCTGATATACAGGGTACACGGAACTCATTACTTCTCGACAATTCCAAGTGGTATTGGAACACGGAAAGTAACCAGGTTTTGATAAGATCGAAGTCATGCTGTCGTCAATTCTGCTGTTTACTCATTACTGTCCGAGCTTAGATATCATTGTTGCTACAGATGCGTCTAAATACGGAGTCGGCGGTTTTATCTAATCGCTTTCTTGACGGAACTGAGAAGGCAATTGCTCATGCCGCTCGATCGTTTTTGTCCGCAGTGCGCAACTGCAGCCAACTTGAAAAAGATTAATTGGCGATCATTTACGCCACTAAGAAATATCACAAAATGCTTTAAGGCCGCTATTTTGCTCAAGTCACGGATCATAAGCTCTTACTTGCTATTCTCGGTTCCAAGAAGGGCATTCTCGTATACTCAGTAAATCGCCTTCAAAAGTGGGTTACAATACTGGGGTGCGATTTCGAAATCGAATACCTATCGACTAGGGACATTTATCAGGCTGATTCCTTGTCACGTCTCATGGACGAAGATTGACAGAAGATAGAGGACATCGTAGTGGCAAGCATCTCGATCAAGCTTGAAGTTCACTGCTTTGTGAATGCAGTTAAAAGCCATCCCGGTAACAGATTTTCAGATACTTGTCGCAACAGCACATGACTCCTATCTGCAGTAAGTGTTTCGCTTCCACAGATTAAAATGGTCACAGAAGATTGAAGACAACGAACTGAAGCTGTTTCATCAACGTCGCAATTCCCTATCAATTGTCGAACGAGTATTGGTTTCCAAAGAACTTCAATCGAGTTTTCTAAAACAGTTCCACAGCCAACACCCGGGAATAGACCGTATGAAGGCATTAGCCAGAAGCTAAGTTTACTGGCCTCATCTTGAAGCTCAAATTTAAGGGGTTGTCCGCTCTTGCTCCAAATGTGCACTTGCTTCGAAGTTGCCAAGGAAAGCAGAGCTCCATTGTTGGTCGGATCCTAGGAAACCATGGTCAAGGCTCCATGCCGATTATGCAGGACTTATTAATGGAAACAGTTTCCTTATCCTGTTTGACGCCTACAGTAAGTGGCCTGAGGTTCGGCGGGTGCCATCGACCACTACTGCATTTCGTCAGGTTATCAGTCGCTCCGTGTATCCGGGCACATTAGCGACTGACAACGGAACTCAGTTTACATCAGCGATTTTCGAGGACTTCTGCAACAAAAACGGCATAACCCACATGAGTTCACCACTGTACCATGCCCAGTCGAACGGCCTAGCAGAGCGATTCGTGGGCACATTCAAGAGAGCATTAGTGAAAGTGAAGGGAAGGAACAGACAGCCGAGATCCTTGAGGCTCCTTTTTATATTACTTGCGAGTAGCAGGTGACCCCAAATCCACTGGTGCCTCAAGATAAATCCCCGGCTGAAGCTTTAGTGCAATGGAAACTGCGATCCAGCCTTGATTTCCGTAAACCTTCTGCCGGGAACAGCTTGAACCGAAACTGCAAAATAGAGCAGCAGTTCAACGAGAGACACGTTGCTCTGAACCGACTTTTCTTCAAAGGCGAACTTTTGTTGACAGAGGACTACCGCAGCAACTAGGTTAGCTGGACTCCAGGACGTATCAATCGTCACGTATGACACTTTTGTTAATTCCGAAGCTTGGGTCCGACGCACCAATCAGTTACAATCCCGTTTCTTTCCGAGTGCATCGCCAGCGCGCTGCATGTTGCCGTCAGACTTTCCTTAACACGTTCTGTACCAGCCCAGAAGACTCTAAACCTGAACAGGAGACTCCATTCCTCATTTATACCGCAGTCAGCACCGAGAAGATAGGCGGACTACGCCGAAAGTCAGTGATTCCGATTTAGGTGAACCCCATGCTGACAACTTGTACGATTCACTCACAAAGGAGATGTTAGGAGACGCAGATTCTAACGAAATCGGTCGGATACAGCCTCCAGCGATCCAGCTCGAGGATGATTGGCTTGTCTCGTGTTCATGACCTTGGTTCAATCAATGACATTTTACCACATTTACTGTTTCAGGGTCATTTGATAGGACTTTTTTAGCCAATGAAATCGTACCCTATGTACATCGTTTGCCTCCTAGATGGTGTTCCTTTTCGACCTCTTTCGACTTCTATTTTGTGTAGAACGTTAGTGTTTTGTGGTCGGTGATTCATGGAAATCCTCAACAAAGGTCGATCGCCAGCTCTGTGAGAAGTAATGGACTTATGTCATGTTGCCCGACGAAATCAACTGGCAGATTGGAGATCTGCGTGAACTTGCGGGATAAAATACGGAATTTGCTTTACCAGGTGGCACAAGCATCATGTCTCTCCCCGCTCTGTTTCGGTTCCGCCAGTCGACGCACCGACAAGCCCGCTCACTGATTTGGAAGACGTGCAAAATTTCCATCAACCGGAGACCGCAATGTCGCTTTTCAGACGAGTACGCCGACCAGACGATCGATACCAGGCTAGGTGGGGTAGTTCCAATTAAAGGGAGGAGGAATGTGACACTACGCGAGTTGGATCGCGCTTCCTATTGGCTGGACTCACCCACGTCAGTACGTACCAACTTAATAACAAACTAACCATTGATCGAACTGGTTTAAATTGTGCGGAGCATTGTGCTTGAGGCTCGACATGATGCATTTTGCGTAATGCTGGAACTGACGTGTTCTGCTGTCTTGCGGTACTAGTCGAATGCTGCGTTATATTGAGAGTTGTAGTTTCGCACGGGCTGAGCTGTAACACACTGGATGAACCGGATACGATTATTTATCGGACTAACGAACTTGAGCTTAACCGATGCGTTTTTTCTGTCTCATTGGAGAAGCTGTGTTGGGAAGTACGGGTCCTTTGAATCATGCTTTCTGCGAATTTTGACAGCAAATGAAAGTTCGAGTATCCTCATTACAAAAGCAGATCAATGCGAGTGAGCCACATAAGTTATTTGCATCTGATCGTTAGATACCTATATAATTTGTTCTCCTTAAAATTACCCAAGGTTTTGCTCGAGGCACTTTCTCACCCACGGAATTGTGTTAACCAGCTGGATTTACAGGTTTAATTTGAGATTCTTTATTTCCAAGTATCTGCGTTTCTGCTGTTGTCAGTCTTAGCAGCTGTGCAGTTTTACTCAATACTGGTTAACGCTTTTATGAATACCCAAGCTGTATACTATGTACCAAACATCCTTTGCAGCAGTAACATCTACACGCTCTCTAAGAGCACTAGGGAAAGGAGAACGTATTGTTGCCTAGACCGGATGGAGGAGCCAGGATCTTTCTGGTGGATAGATCGGACTACATCAGAAAGCCATGTGCCACTCCTACTGACGGATGGAAATTTCGAAGAGTGGATAACGAGGGTTGCAAGACCCGGGAAATCGAGAGGTGCACAATTAAATTTCTGCGTCGCTTAGAGCAATCGAATGTAATAGAGTCTGATATACTCCTATGCACCTGACCGAGTGGATCAGTGTTTTAAAGACCTTATAATCTGCTCAAATTACATAAGGGAGGACTACCACTATGCTCAATACTAAATATGTGTAACTCGCCCTATCACTTAACCTCCAAGTGGCTTGTCAGATGTTTAGAACCGATCAGAAAAGCCGTAGTGAGATGCAGCTTTAAGGACATCTTTGTTTTCTTTACTCAGTGTGGCACCTTGAACTAGTCGGGCGCAAGTTGTATTCATTAGACTTGGTGTTCCTTTTCATCGGTATCCCATTGGAAAGGAACATAGAGTATCTATGTGAGTTCGCTTGGTCCCGAAAACTCGACATCGGTATCCCACAAGATCGATTGGGTCTACTACTGCTAACGTGCACAAGACGCTTTTAGTTCCAGTTTAACGGAACGCGATGCCAGCAGGTGACCATGGGTTCACCACTAGGGCCGTTGCTCGCGGACGTTTTCCTGAGCAAGTTGAAAAACAACCGGTTAAACAAGTGCATCAACATCCTGGTGTATTGTGGTCGATATGTGGACGACACATTTCGTATTGTTGACAATGCGGAGTGTGTCGATGATCTATTGGCCCACTTCAACTTTTTAAAAAACATTCACTATCGAGCTAGAATGTAACGATTCGTTGTCCTTCTTATATGTCCAAATCATTCGGGTATTAGGCGCGTCAATGCAGAGGGTGCGCCGAAAGGAAACTTGGGATGAGCAATGTATCCACTTTACTGGTTTTCTTCTCACAAGTTAGAAACGAAACCTCATGCGTTGCCTAACGGGCAGAGCGACGACGATATATACAGAAGATACGATTTCAGATGAGCTGTGATTCATCCGTAGTGTGTTCGAGCGTAATGTATACCCCGAAAAATTCATCCGGAGGCACATGGTACTGCAAGTGGCAAGGCTAAAACGCGTTTTCGCGGAGAAGCGGTTAATATACTTATCGTTACCGTTTAGGGGTGACACGATAGCGCAGCGGACCACCCGAAGGCTTTTCATAGCAACAGCGCGAACCCGTTTTGCTGTCATTCTGCGCGTACGATTTGCCTCAACACCGATTATGCGCCGGCAACTCAAGGAAGGATATTTCGGTCGCAGATTTAACTATACGAAATATACTGTATTCGAATTATTCCGTCAAAATGTTGCTTGTTCTTGCGCTTTTGAAGTTGAAATAAAATGGTTATATGACATTTTAAAGAATTATCTCCCGCGTGAAACATTTCGTTTGCTGGATACTCTGGTAGCACTGCGTTGCTCCCTCTCTCGCGAAGCTGCTGGTACGTACTAAACTTATCCGAAGTCACACTCCTTCCTCGCTACTTGGGACTTAACGCTCTCGGTTTCACCTTTTCGGTGCCACCCAGTAAGTGTGATGGAAAAGTCTGAACATACGTACGAGGAGCTTTTCACTCTGATCTCGGTGACAGATGGTTTCGTCAGCTAGTTTAAGGCCAAGATTGTAGACAGCCAATCAGTTTTACATTATGGAAGCTGGAAAGTATTAAATAATTACGGAAGATTACTTTGATTCTTTTGTGTTACGTCGCAGTGGTAATGTACTGAAACTGGTTGTGACACGAGTTCTGGAGTCGTTATTATGGGTAGACAGGATTTGCTAGGAATCTGACAGGCTGTGATATAACAGAATACTTTGAAAACAATAGCGCTCGGATTTTGGTCTGCACAACTATGGGCTGATCGATGCTAATATCATGATACAACTTCGGCATCGTGCATCCCGACTTCTTCGGATGTGGGGTTTGCTGAAAGTAAACAGCTCCGCTGCCTCCAATCTTTTTAATAATGGGAGCGTCGTACCAGAAATCGGCACGATGGATGGCCAAGCTTATTGAGCGTATTCGGCGTTAGTTGGCAGTGCACAGATTGGAAGACTCGTTTGAACTCATTGATACAATTCTGGGTCTAATCATGAATGGTAAGCGAATGATAAATAAATTTAATAAATAAATTTGCATATTTACCGACAGACGGTACACGACCCCATAAGTGGGAGCGATCATTTGTATAGTGAATAGGTTTCATGGTTTATGCGGCGTAAACCATAATAGTAATGAAAAGTTTATTAATAGCATTTCGGATCATGATTTTTTCCTCGGGTCCTAGACCCGTGCACCTAATATGTAACATTTACGGATGTTTGTATCATCAGGAGTAGATAATAAAAGGGAGGGGCTACTAGGCTGCACAGACACAGGATTTGGTATTGTAGGTAATGACATGTAGTGGGTACGCTGGTTGTAAGGGAATATCTGCTCATATGTTTTTTATACCAGCTTCTCTCAATGTTTATGGAGTTTGCTGTGAGTCAAATATCTTCAACACATTTGGTATAGTGAGGAACGTCTGAAGGGAATTTCGAAATGTGACATAGCTTGTACTCATGCGTATCTGTAGGGGTAGTTTGTTTCACAAATCAGCGTATCTCACTAAGAAGAAATTCGATCGAGTTTTATGACTTGAAAGGTTTGTGCGTATCAAGTAGCAGCCATTACGTGTGGGGTAGACTGAAGTCTTTCGTAGTTCAAGCGCGGTGCTGTCTGCGTAAATCCGTCGGTTTATAATGTTGTGGAAGTGAACGAGGTTGTTCTTTAAGCGTCTCAGCCAAAGTGGATCCAGTTAGAGTTTTCGACAGCGATCATAATAAGTCAGGTTTAAGCAGTGCCCCATGACCAGCTTGGTAAATGATCGTTGTACATTTTCCAGAGCCGTTCTGTCTTTCTTTCTCAATTGGCTGTTAACGATAGTACACTATTCCAGATTCGGTCGTACTGTTGTCTTGAATAACTCAATTCGTGCTTCAGGTAGGGAATAAGTTCTGTTGATATGTCCGCATAACTGCCTTACTTTCGCAACCTGATAAGGTACATGTTCGGAGAAATCGAAAGAGTTGGAGTACCTAATTCCTAAATCCCGAACTGAATCAGACGTTGGTATCACGTTTCCGGCAAGTCTGATAGAGCCTTTGGGATGCGGCATCTGTACCCAAGTATTTTGGATTTCACTGCGGACAACTTCATTAATAAACGCTCACTAGCTATATTTAGTGCGGATAGGTCTTCACAGATGTTTCCCAAACATATATGTAGTTGGTCTGGATGAAATGAGTAGACCTGTTTGACGTCATCTGTAAACCAAAGTGGGTGTCCATGTTTGATCGAGTCATATATGTTGTTTACGTAGATTAGGAAAAGTAGTGGTCCGAGCACACTTCCCTAGAAGACGCCGCTGGTTATTTGTTTCGATGTAGAATATTGCTGACCGGTTTTAACTACCAATTCGACAGTTTTTGTATGAGTTGAACCAGTTAAGCAGAGGATTTCCAATTCCATATGACTTTAGAGCAGACAGCAGTGGCTTATACGGCACGCGGTCGAATGTCTTTTGCATGTCCAGTAGATTTATAATAATTGCCATTCCTCTGTCAATCATAGTCGTGACGTGATCGAGAAATTGTAGCTGGCAAGTAATGCGGGAGCGTTTTGAGAGAAAACCCTGCTGTGAGGGGTTGATCAGATCCATTCTTGTAAGATATTGAGCAATGTTCTTGACTATTCGCTCTAGAGTTTTGGAAGCAGTGGAGATGGGATTTCTTGGGCGATAGCTTGACACTTGTTTTCTCGAGGCACCCTTGTGCTTAGGCATTATAATGGATTGCTTCCATTGCGTTGGAAAGCAGCCGGTAGTGAAAGAGTGTAAAGATGTTTAATAACAATAGAGCGAGGTTTTTTCCTTTGGGTTTTTATAACATTTGGGGAGATGCCATCCGGGCCTGGACGAGTTGATGGTTTTATGGATGCGATGGCACTTTTTACCTCTCTTAACGTCACATGGATATTGCAGTATAGTTCGGTCGTTCCTTTTGGAATTGGAGGATGAAATGGCTGTGTTGCGAAAATATAGGAGGCAAAACTATAGTTGATAGCATGGCATATACAGGAGATATCGCGCGTTATTGAACCATCGTCTAGAGCCAACCTTTCAATTTCCTGAAGTGGTTTAGGGTTCATTCTTTTGAGTAGTTGCCTCAATGAACCTACTTTCTCGGGATTTCTGAGTACCCGACTTTTTTCTTTGATTTTGGACGTTTGGTTAGACGTTGTAAATGTAGTAACTTATCGTGCATTTGTAGCAATATTGCGAAGCTGTTGCTCTCGCGATATAGTGATTTGAGTTTCTTTAGTTTGGTTTTGGCTTTGTACAGAAGCTTGAGTTCACCACTATGTTCATGGGTATTTCTCCATACAGTAGATGCCAGTAGATCCAAACCAAGGGCAATATTGTTAATAAACTCATTTGTAGCCACAGTAGGGTTGTGTTAGGAATGAAGTATTCCAATTCGTGGTACTGATAAGTTCGTTAAATGAGTTCCAGTCCATATGATGGAGGTTGCGAATTGGATTTTAGCATTTTCCTTTGTCGTTTAGTTGAATCTATAGTCATA